TCGATCATTCTTCTGTACGATTCTCTATCATTCCTGTCTGCAGAACCGCTCTTCTAGTTTTGACGAATTTTTTAGGGAAATCATCTGTGTACCAGTCAGTGTATTTTGCTGTAGGAGAAACGATTGTTGGGTCGTGATTTATGCTAGTTAGTTTCGTAGTTGGTTCAGAGGAGGTTCGATTAATTTAATCGAATAGAAAGCTACGATGGTTTCGCACGNAGACTGTTGATTTTTGTTAATTTTTCATAGAGGTCTAGTGATTTAAGTTTAAAATTACTTAAAATATAAAAAAATATAATATAAATGCATTTTATTTTTACAATAATGCCAAACCTTTAAAATGACTAGATTAACTTAAATAAATATCCGTTGTTAGTATAAAATTGACGCCTTAGAAAAGCATGCGCCTCTGAAGCGTATGGTTATCTTTTACGTACGTTGTCATATGGTTATCTTTCTAGGGTTAAACAACTGTAGTATCTCTGTTATTGTCGATATCGTCTATTCGTTGTTGTCAAAGCTGTTGTTATTAAACGGCGGATCTTCGTGCGAAATGAACATTTTTTGCATCCGTTGCAAAACGCTGGAGCAACTTGGAACATTCCTTGGTTCTTCGATAATTCGGATAGGTCGAAAGTAGTGTATCGACGTTATCAATCGAGTCTCACAGATATTATATTTCGAGTCACAGATAGTCTTTTTTGCGACGGATGCACGAAATTCGCGGTCCAATTATTATTCACAACGATAAACGTTTTAAAGCTACGACCGCGATTCTGTGGCTTCGAAAAATCGAAATCGTCGCATTGATTGAATTCTAGCACATAGGATCTACGGTGTATATCGGAGAAAAATATCGTCGAAATAGATTCTACGGACTCAAAAAAATTATGCAGTTCGAAACACTCGGAAGTAAGAACATGCGACGCGCGGCGTTCATCCTTGCGGCCACAGAATTAGCGAAGGAAGGCGAAACGCAGCGTGCCAAAACGCCTGTAATCGCGCGAATGATCGCGTAGAAGCACGTACATTCTTCGAATCTGCTCGAAAACTATGCGCAAGCAAATTCCGAGCAACTCCGAGATTCGACGTTTGTTCCGAAATCGTCGAACACGCTGCGCGGCGGCGTCGCGGCACGATTTCGTCCCAATGGGCGCCGCTAATGCAACAGAAACCGAGCCGGAAAGAGGAAAGAAAAAAGAAGAGGAAGAAGAAAGAGGAGCACAACAGAGCCCCGTCAAAAGAAGAGGAAAGAAAGTGACGCGGCGGCGGCGGCAACGTAGAAGATGGAAAAAGGAGCAGAGCGAAATCGATGATTTCCTCTCGCTCTCGGAACCGAGAAGACGAACCAGCGCGGGGCGGAAAGTGTCTCCTAATAATAGAAGAATACATTTTTGGTTCTCCGGTCTGTTCTTCCGTGGTGATTGTCGGCTACTACCTGGAGATTCGTTCGGGGAAGCTGTTTTCCTCGAGACACGACACCCCAAGGATTTTGGCTCGCGAGACGGCCGAGACCACTGAGACCGGAGACTGCGCGCTCTCGGATGCTGCAGTTTAAAAATATCGGTTCCTGGAACGGATCGCAGAAATCGAGCACCAGAGATATTCGGTCCTCTTCCTCCTCTTTGTTCCATGTATAACGCCGCCAGACCCCCCGCGAACCTAAAGGCGTGGTTACAACCACAGTGCAGCGGGTTTACACGCGCGCATCCGCCTGGCTCGTCGCGAGACCTCGCCCGGCTGAATTATACGACTCGAATTAACTTGGAGGCCCAAAGGATACTGTCTCCGCATTGGCGATGTCCAGGAATGCGGGCTCCGCAGCGTTTCCTCCCTCGACGAGTTAACTCGTCGATCATTCTTCTGTACGATTCTCTATCATTCCTGTCTGCAGAACCGCTCTTCTAGTTTTGACGAATTTTTTAGGGAAATCATCTGTGTACCAGTCAGTGTATTTTGCTGTAGGAGAAACGATTGTTGGGTCGTGATTTATGCTAGTTAGTTTCGTAGTTGGTTCAGAGGAGGTTCGATTAATTTAATCGAATAGAAAGCTACGATGGTTTCGCACGTTTTAATTGGTGCCTTGGAAGACGAGGATGATAGAAAATTTTGTTAACGTGGCTCTTGTGATCTAAGCAGTTAGTTATTTAAGAAGGATGCGTACAGCGATATTCGTGATTAAATTATTTATTTTGTGAAAATGTATTCAGAGAAAATACGAAGAAAATCATCGAACGTATACTATATAATTACAGTAACTTACTTACACTTTTCAAAGAGGTCGCAACAGCTAATTGTCTAATTGATTTTCGTTCGTTCGATGCACGAACTCGCACTATTTATAGATCGTATAGTTCATAAAGGAACGTACAGATCTTTCGGTATCTGTCTCTAATTTTAAAGAACAATCGAGTGAATATCTATAAAATAGTCCAAGATCATTTTGTATTGAACGCTTAAAAAAAACTTAAGGATAAAAAGAACACGATGCTATAAAACTCCGTGACCGCGTCATTGCGAAACGAAATTGACAAAATAAGAGTAAGCTTAAAAGTATGCTTTAAAAAATAGACAAATAAACAAACGAAAACAGTCCCAAGCGGCAAATAAATCGTCCAAAGGATTGATCTACGAAGCCGAGTGAATCTTCGTACAACTGTATCGGCGAGATAAATGATCGAACGTTCGCCAAGTTCATGCTCGGCACCGCGAGATCGCAAAACAGTTGCTCGATGGATAAATAATTCGGCCGTTCGTCGGAAAGTCATGTACCGACAGCTGGTAGCGGATTCTCAGACACACGGGCTCGTTCCTCCGGTGATCGCATCTCGGAAGAATGACGTCTACCGGTGCGTCGAGACGGCGGCGGTCGTCTCACCCGAAATAGATCCTTGGATCACGGGCGCGCGGAGACGCGTCCGGGGCGCGTCGCGACGCCGTGGAAACCGGTTGCTAGGGGAAAAACGAATCCCCCGTTCCGATGGGTTTATTAACGATTAAATTACCGGGATCCCGGTGCCCGGAGGCTGGAACGCTCGCCGATCCGCCGGAGGATCTTCTGAAACGCGCGAGATCGCGAGCGGGGAATGCGGTCGCGCCTGTGAAAATCATGCTTCGTTGGCTCGGTTTCCCGAAAGGATCCGTAACGCCGGGAAAACGATGCCGGCGTTATCGTCGTTTTCCCGAGTGCGTTGGTAATTTATGAAAATAATCGTTACATCTGCATTTTGAGGGGATCGGCGATTTACGAGAATCGGGCCCCGTTACTTCTGTTTCGCCAATGATGTCGGTGTATCATGAAGATTATGCTCTGTTGCCTCTGTTTCCTGAAGTGATACGCGTGTTTCAGAATCCGCGACGCTGTTGAATAATTCAGACGGTATATACCGTTCTGCTCATTTGCGTCGTTATCGTGCCCGGTAATCGCGTGGATAAATCTAAACGGCGGATTTCACGCGATCACGGTGTTGCGCGAGTTGTTGCGATCTGGAAGTGTAAACGGATTAGAGGAGCACTGGAATATTAACGCTTCTTAGTTTCAATTTCTCGGAGCTACTTACCGGCAGGAATGTCGATCGGCTTTCAATGGTCCCGCGATCGTTCGAGTCGGCAGCAATTGATTTCGGTTCAGTTTTTTCCAAGACGCGGACGTTTCACGGAGCTGGAGCCAGCGGGATTGTTTGACTTAAAATCGGGCGGGGTCGCCATTTTCGGTACAAGGCCGCACATGTCGGCCGTGGGGCGCCCACGAAAGACATATGGGACAGGGGGCACACGAGCAAACAAACTAGGCCTTTATTACCTGAAGACATTTCCAAGTAATCATCGGCAACCGCTCCGCTTCCGCCCGTGAACTCGCGCCGAGTTCTGTTACGCTCGAGCAGCGAAACGTTCGATTTCCACCGTGGCGAGATCGTCTAGCATGCGAACGATGATTGGCTCGGCGCAATGAAAAATCCTTCGGGGTTAAATATCGCTGCGAGCGTAAATTGAATAATATATTTCCCTAGCACACGCACCGCGTTATGCGAGAGAGCCTAACGGGACCGATAAGATCGCCTCCGTCTCGGCTTTCTGTAAAAGGGATCTCAAGTTTTACGGCATCGGAGCGAATTACGCTCCACTTCGGATCGGACGAGTATGATTTCAGAGGGAGGAGAAAATCGAACGGAACGCATCGACTCGTTCGATATTAATGGCCGAAGTCACTTAGCGGCCGCGTTAAGCGGCGGCGCGACGATTTTTCCACGGGATTAGAAGTGTTCCCGTGTTCGATACGCAATTGCCGAAGCGTTTTGTAGGAGAAGCCGGGATACAGGCTGCTCAAAAATCCAGAGAAATCCCGGCGATCACTATATTTGGCCTTCTGACTCATGGCGCGGTTGCGCGGCCGACGCGCAAGCTTTGAATTCTACCGCGCCATTTTGTCTTCGGCCGCATCAGATTCTTCGAGCGTCTTCGCGTTTTTTCTTTCTATGCCACACTCTCTCGGGAACTGGTGTTTCTGCTCTGTGCTATTTATTCGAATCGAGCGAGCCGATAAATGCGTTTTGTTGTTTCCGAACGGTCCCCTTTGCGGTCGATTAAATTGTTAGTTTCAATTTGAAACGCTCTCCCTCTGATCTCAATTTCTTTAAACTTTTCTACAAGAACGCAAGTTTCTATAAAAATTCCGTAATATACAGACAGCTAAAACGATGATAATTTTTAAAAAACATAACGATGATCAGATTGATAAGTGAATTAAAGATCCATAGGATTAAAAGAATATTTATTTATAATAAAACAATTCATATTGATCGAATAAGACAGATTAAATTTGTTATTCGGAAATAAACAAAATAAAAGAATTTAAAAAAATTATAAAATAAGCCAAAGGCATAGTCACCCCGCGGTAATTGGCACCGCTACCCTAAATTGCTTCATTCAGCAAGAAAATCTAAAAATTACCTACCACTTTCCACGATGATTAAATACTGATTAGTTCATGGTTCTTTCAGCTGATTGGCGAATGCGGTGTAAGAGACCATCGTGAATTTAAGGATCAACAAAATGAGGGCACGAGATTCCATGGTCTACACCCCGGTGTCCCTAGGACCGGACACCGACGACGAGGAAACCCTAGTCAACGCTGAAGTTTACATCAATGGTGAGTCTCAATTATCCATGTGCATGCTGCAAATACATTTTTCTTACATTACTAAACCACGAAAGTTAGATCCTGATAAATTAGATCTCGCGAAACGATTTTACCAGCGAATGGTAAGTCAGTACTCTGTCGCTGCGATCGTGGTTAATGATCCCCTGAATCTTCTTATCTGCTTAATGTTGCCTAACGCCGAGGTTAATAGCGTTTTGTGAGAGGTTTTTATGGATCCGCTTCGATTCGTTGATGAATTGCTGTGATGTCAGATCATCGATTAAGCGACCGGTAAGGGAAGTTGTTAGGAACGGAGATTAGTCTTCCTCGTGCTACATTGTTGAACGATTTCAAGATTAGATCTCGTTGTTACGATTAGAACGAAGATATGAGAGACGAGCTTTTATTTAATGTTCCTGAAGATTTAATTTGGCGAACGAGATTATCCTTATCAATGAACAGAGTCTAATTAACCCCAGAATAATTCGAACAACCCCATTCTATTTATCGGCATAAATAGCATTGCAGGGGTGCGGGCGACGGAAAATATAAAATCTTGATGATTAAAATATTATTTATTATTTTCAAGATATAATATAATATTTTATATTATATATATATATATTATATTATATTTTATATTATATATACATATTATATATAATATAATATTATAATATATATATATATTATTATATATTATTATTATATTATATTATATAATATAAATTTTATATTATATGTTATACATTATTATTACATATCATATATCATAAGTTATATATATATATTATAATCTTAATGTTCTAGTATTTATTTACACGGTTTGCAGACAAATTAAAAATATTTGGATGTCGCTGGCAACCCCGGAAGATCGTTTTAGGGTTAAACGACGTGCAGAGTACGCAACGAATTAATATTTCGAATCAATAAATTCAGAGTCAGTGAAAAAAAAAATATATGTAAATCGGGCACAATAGACGATTAGTTGACAAAATGTGAAGAAGGTAGCAAGCTTCCCTGAGCCAATGAGAAATTGTAAAACAACGAAACAATGCAACCGACACAACTCCAGAAATAGGTTCTTAGACGGCACGCCACGTCCCCGAACATGAAAAGGACAAGATGGTCGGTCATTTTTCCCGATTGAAATTCCGATTGTTCTCCGGCGACAAGAGTATTCCTGACCAAGTCAAGCCGGATGCGATTGGAAAACGAAGACAGTCTGGTCTGAGTCAGAGAACACCTACACGACTTCCGAATTCGAAGTTCGCGGTTATGTGGCGCATGTAGGATAGAGGCGGGGGCGTGGCGTATGTACGCAATAACCGGCGAGCCGGCTGCGTCAGGCTCCGTTTTTGGCAATGATAATACGCTCACCTGGAAGAGCATTGTTTAATCGCCTCTTATCTGCCTCTCGGAGGAATGACGGCTCGTGTCATGGGAAACGGACCCGATAATCCTGCACAAATATTGGACGCGGGAGACTCGTTCCCGGAAACCAGAATCTTCTAGAATCTCGTCGACGGGCTTTACTAACGCCAGGTCTATGAGAACGCAATCGCTGATAGGAGCCGCAGATAATCGCTATCGGAACGTGTTCGGAAGATGATCACCGTAAAATTTTATTCAGACGGAAAGCTAAAAATGATTACATTCGATAGCCGAACGACGAAACGAATTTTTTCAGAAACATTTTCTTCCGTCATGATCTTGGATGAACCCTAAATTATTTTACTCGGTAGCTCAGCAGTGAAACAACTCGGATAAAAATTATTTTCAAATGTTCTATATTTCTTTCTATATTTATTTTTCTATATTTTACTCACTTAATTACTTTTTTGAAATATAAAATCATCTTAGTTCGATGAGGACTCGCGAGGACAGCGTCACAGGACGAGCATGATCTCGCGCGAAGGAAATTAATTTTGCACCACGTCGTTGTTTAAAATAATAACGCTTGAAGATAAATTCTAGCGCAGGTTGTTTGACCGTTCGAACGACTTTTTACTTTATGAAAGGTTTTGGCTAAACGTCTCACCGGATGAACGACTATTCGTCGTTCCTAAATTTAGGCATTTCCTGCGTCGAAACGACGGCGAGCTAGTTTAAATAAAAGGACAATGTTATTCCTAAAATAAGACCGATGAATCGGTCGAACAAATCGTCCCCGTCCAACTGCCACTTTTCAATAAAACACGACCACGCCTGCCGGAGAAAATGGCATTCGAAATCAGCAGCGTGAGTCAGAGATTTCGTTTTTCAAGGAAACGAGGGGGCCGAGGAAAAAACCGTGTCCCACGTAATCGATACAATTCCCGACAATGAACGTCCAGCGGACGCGCGCCGGCCGCGTCACCGTTTTATCGGCATTTTTAAAGGGACGATTTTAATCTGCCGGGGACGCCGGCATGATCGCGAGCCAACGGTATACAGGAAAACGGCGCGAGCAAAATGACATCCTGATTTATACGCGGCCATTGTTGCGTTTGCCCGCGAGTATGCGACGACGCGTTTCGCTGGTGAACCCGCGAAGATAATCGGTATTTGTGCAGCGACGATAACAACACCGCGAAGGAGGAGCACCCTAAGGATTGTCCACTCGGTACTCGATAAGTGTTATCTCTGGCTCTGGCGCCGTCTGGAAATTCCGTTAATTTCCCAATCGCGGTGCACACGGCCGAGGAAAACTCGCGGCGGCCACCTTTCCGAGGAAACATAAATTGATCGGCGGATGGCCGAGGATTGGCAGCCTTCGGGCATTTACGATCGGTTTCCGCTTTGCGGAGAAAGTCACCGTGGAAAACTGCCGCTTCTCGTTTAATCTTGGTGCTCCTCGGATTATGAGCGTTCGTCGAGTATACGCGCCTATGAATTACGTCTGCTGCTACGAGTCGCTTCGGTTCAGAATATTTCAATAAAGAGGCGTCTTCCTTTTTGTTTTAGGATCTTCCTAAACACGAGGCAGATCTTGCTAAATAAATTTCAACAGATAATTTTTAAGTGTAATTAACTTTATATCTAAGTATAGCTTATTAAATTGTTTCATTTAAATCCAATTAATCATTTGTTCCTTATAATTAAACATGTAAAGAGGCGAAACTTCTTGGAATAGCAGAAATATATTATTTCTATTTATTGATACTGAATTAACTCTACCAAAATTTTCTGCAGAGCTTATGAAAAAACTTCAGAAATTATTGAACGAATGGAGTTCAATGTTCACTAAAATAAATCGTTGTACGTAAGATATTGCAATGTTAATCATATTGGTAAAACATATTAAGATTACTGAAAAATAAACCGGTTATTATTTATTCGAATTTTTGCTTTTAGTTCCAATTTCAGTATTTTATTTACTGTGCAAATAATTTCGAATCGTCTCTCTGTTTCGAAAATTACTGAAGTCTGCCAACAGGGCACAGTAATCGGCTCGTCTATCCTATTGCATCTTGAACACCAAAATGAAAAGATGTCTTCAGGTTTCAAGAATAAAAAGTGCCACGGTATCAAAATATTCCTCAGAGAAATAATACAAGGGACTGAATGAATATTTTTCGCACGATACAAAAATCGAACAAATCTCGTAATTCCTAGACTATGAATTATTTGCACAGATATTATTATTAAATATTTACATTGCACGATAAACACACCTGTGTATTGCCCAAGGGCACTTTTAAGGCGAGAGGTTCCCGATCGAACTCTCGATAGAATCAAGGTGCTTTTCAATCACGAGGCTGGTTCCCTCGTCGGTCTCCGAGCGATGCTTTCTCCGTGTCGTCTTCCATCGCGCGAACAACCGTTTATCTCCGTACGTGCGTCACAATGATCTCTTCATCGAGGTTGTACAGCGATACAAGCGCATCGTTCCCGAGTAATCCGAATCCACGGTATCCGGGCTGGCAGATAACAGCGAAATACATAAACGGAACGAGCTGCCAGCGGACTTTACGAGCTTTCGTGGATAATTGTAATTAAGTTACGCAGCACCCTTTTTTCGTAATATCTCGGCTCGTTTCCTGTCTTCCCGCACGCGATATCCACTCGGCTTTTCATTATCTTTTGCCGGAGGTCAGTGTATACTGAACGCGATCCGCGATCCGACGCGACGCTTCAATGAATCGTTTTGTTTCTCTAATTATTGGACGAAGGACGACGATTTGCTGAAATAAGAGATCGGCGAAGACTCGATAAAATGAGGAAAGGGCCGAAACTCGGAAGAACGTTTTTAGTTTCGAAATAGCGGGAAAGAGGATCAGCTGAAAGCTCTGATCTGAATTAATAGAGTAATTTTTCCCAGAAATGTTCGGAGATCGGAACTGAAACCGGCAGATCTGAGAATACTAAGTCGCGATTCTTAGTGGCTCGAGGCTCGTTTTTATAGGAAAAAAGGCAGCGACCAGCATGACGGTGTACATTAATATGAGTTTCTTATTTTTAATTTTTTGCCACGATTCGACGGCAATTTGGAGGCCACATGCCACGATTCGAAGGCAATTCGAAGGCCACGTGTCACGATTCGAAGGAAATTCGGAGGTCACGTGCCACGATTCGAAGGCAATTCGGAAGCCACGTGCCACGATTCGAAGGCAATTTGGAGGCCAGATGACACGATTCGAAGGCAATTCGGAGGCCACGTGCCACGATTCGAAGGCAATTCGGAGGTCACGTGCCACGATTCGAAGGCAATTCGTAGGCCAGATGACACGATTCGAAGGCAATTCGGAGGCCATGTGCCACGATTCGAAGGCAATTCGGAGGCCACGTGCCACGATTCGAAGGCAATTCGGAGACCATCATTAGCATCGACGTAGCAATAAATTACATAGGCGCAGGACTAGCACAGGAAAATTCACAGCATCCCGAAATTTGGAAAATTAGAAATTATTATTAGAAATTATAGAAAGATAGTACAGAACACAAACAGAGGAAGCCTCGAAGTTGAAGACTCATTGCAGTGATACATAGATCTGCTACGACGATGTCAGGACACCAAATCTTTACGT